CGACTTTCCAGCTGGAGCTGCCAAAATGTACTTTGCGTACTACACTTGCACTGAAAAGTTGCGACTTTCCAGCTGGAGCTGGGAGCTGGCAGAGTGTACTTCGCAGACTACACTTGCACGGAAAGTCACGACTTTCGAGCTAGAGCTGCCAAAACACTGCAAACCGATGCAGAGGAAAAAAAACACCGATACTGACCGATACTAGGGCATAAGGATACAAGGGTTGTCCACGGGGTTGTTTTTCAACCCAGACTGAGGCTCTATCAACGTCGGATAAATCTGAATGATGTTGGAGGGTCCATGGACCGTTGAGCAGTGGCATCCCCTCCATAGGTGTGAAGTTTTTTGGATTCCAGAGTTTGCAAGAAGGTACCTCTTGAGCAAGCTGGCCCTAGGGTGTCCATGCAGAAAGGGGTTCAACTTTTCTTCCAGCCAGACTGGACGAAATCACGTGGCACCATTTTTGTGAATAGGACGATCTGCTTCAAAAGGAACCCCCAGGTTGTGCGCAAAAAGGGGCACCAAACGAAATTCCTTAACACTTGCCGTGGGTCAATCGTTGTGGCCGACTCCCCCCAAAAAACGCACACCAACAAAGCACTTGCCCTATATGGTTCATGAGGCTTTTCCAGATTTTCAGGCCACCCATTCTCTCCCAAAGGCGGAGCAGGAGAAGGTGTGGAACAACGAGGCGGGTCAGCCGCTGAGGTGGACCAAAGGAGACACACTCCCAGCTTCTTGCTGATTTTTTTTCTATCTTCCCCCGTTCGTTGGTTTTAAAGAGAATCGATTCCAGGGGACTTCAGCAAATGGAGGCGAGCCGAAGGTTCGGGTAAGGATCAAGCGCCGAGTTGCCGCGGGCTAGAGCCTCGCCAGAATGAGTTGTCGAGAAGGCCTTAGACGGGCCGTTGATTCGAGGGCTCCTTTTGCAGGCTGGGCGTGCCTTCTTGTTAGGGGACCCGACCAGTTTGGTGTCCTTGAAATCACACCACAAAGGGTACCGTCAACAAAAAGACGAACCCAGACTTTAGGGGATGTGGGTGACAGGATGGGGAATGGGAGCCTCTTGGAAACTCCAAAGATTTGTCAAGCTCACGAAAAAGAGAGAGAGAGAGAGAGAGAGAGAGAGAGAGAGAGAGAGAGAGCTCGGAGCCTATGATAGAGGTTCCTGGACCCTCAAACAAACCAAACAACTAATTCACTCGCTCTAAACAATTGTAAGAGCACATGTTGAGGGTTCAGCTTGCCTATGGAGATTTTATGTTTCTTTGCTTAGCATTCTTATTTCCAGTTATGGTGTAGTGGAATTGCATTTCAAGCAGGGTTCACACCGTTTCTGAACTTGCAAGGCTCGTGCCCTAGCCCCAGTCCCACACTGTGGCTCCCGTGTCGCACGCCCCCCAGCAGGTGTGGGTGGATTGGAGCCTTGGCAGCAACCAAGAGGGTGGGACCTGCCAGCCAAATCAGCCAGCCAGCCAAGTGCCAGCCAGACAGTCAGCCAGCTAGCCAGTCAGCCAGCTAGCCAGCAAGGCAATCACAAGCATGGGACTGGGACTTCTTAGGATCCGGGTCTGGGGGGCGGCGGCCTGGGGTAGGAGGGCTGAGGACCATGTACATATTAAGATATATAAGCATATAAACGTGTATGTATGTATTTATTGGTCACCCACCTTCATCTACCTTCTATGCTACAGAGGTAGATCATGGGAAGGAGGGGGGAGAAGATCATATGCGTATAGATATAGTATTTACACATTGTACATGTTTTGTAGATTGGTGCACGATACACGTGTCCCTTTCTGTTCGAGCTTCGCTTTGTTTTGGGTTTGTTTCCCCGCCAGGAAGCCACAGGCACGGCCGGGATCGTCTCAGTCAGTCCTGTGGAGGGCAATGTTGATGTGTTCACTTCGATGAGGCTTCAATCATGCTGTTGACCCCGGATCGCTCACTTGAGGTTGCTTGAGTTTCTATCTTTTCACTTTTTGGGTTTGGACGATAGTCACTTTTCGTGACTTTTTGGGTTTGGCTTGTGGTAAACAAAGTTTGGTTCCTTTTTCTGACCAATCCACTCAGTAAGTGAGTTAAGCGGAACCCATTCATTCATGGGGTGTTGCAGTGTTGGGCAACCAGGGTACGCCTTGCCATGGGGTTGGCCTTTGTTTGTCGAAATTCGGCTTCCCGTATCTGCACTCTGCTTTCAGATTAAAAGCCAAGCGTGAGACTGTGGCAATTTTCAAGTTCCCTTGCCAATTTTCGTTGCATTAAGTGGCAATAGACAAGCAGCTGGGATGGAATGAACATTGACCCAGTACCGGTATCCTGTAGTTCGGACAGGAGGGTTAAAAACAAAAAACGGCATCCTAGTCAAATTGAACAGGATATCATACCCATGTATATATATATAGATATATTAGAAATCTGGTTCCAGCCTGGTATTGGAGATTCAAGAGTTCCAGGACTCTAGTTCGTGAATCTTGAATGAGCAGCAAGGGGGCCCCCAAACCTGTTTCAGAATGAACCATATGGGTGTGGGTCAAAAAAAGGGCACCCAAAAGGTCTAAAATAGAAGCCTGGGTAATGGAACCAAGGACTAAACTCTGCGGTCCCCTGGTGGTCTAGTTTTGACCCACAGCGCATATTGGGGCAACCCATTTTGGGGGTACCCGATTGACCCACCGGGTCCAGGCTGGACCTGTCTGGCGTCCTGGTGTCACTTCCGTCGCCAGGCCAAGCCACCGGCTTCGCCCAAGGCGAAAGCCAAAGCGCCCAGGCGCAGCGGCCATTGGCTCCCACCACCGAAGTTCCGCAAAGCACCTGGTTTTCTCGAATCCAAGACCTGTTGTTGCCGTTTTTTGTCTTTCTCCTTTTCTTGTTTTTTTCCTTTTTTTTGTCCGAGGAGACGTGTTTTCGTTAAGGTGTTGGGGTTGAATCCCAAGACTTCTTTTTTTTTGTCCCGGAGGCAATGTGTTTTTTAGATTGCGGGTTAGAAGAAAAGAAGGGTTTGCTGCTTGCGCGCTCTGAAATACCAAAACCGGGTTTTTGGAAGCCAAAACCCGGTTTTGACGGCTCTACGGCCGGAAAACGAAGCAGATCCTCCTTGTTTTTGTTTACAAGGGAAAGCTCCTTTGGCCTCCGAGCTCTACCCTTTCTACCTTATGCGGACTGCATATTTCGTCCACCAGGTGGCTGGGGGCACCCCTTTTGTAAAGGAAAACCAAAAGGAGAACCGAAGCCATTTTGGGGGTACCCTAAAACAAGACACACCCAAGTGAGCTCTTGGCAATGATCTGAAACCAGACATCAAGACCCGCCGCAAGCCAGGGGCTTCTTGGGACACCAGTTTGGAGATGCGCAAAGTAAAAGCCGGCCGGGAAGGCGAGCGGTTCCAGGCTCCAGGGTGACAAAGGATCTCTCCGGGTGAACAAAAGTCGTAGCTTTTTATGCGGATGGGCGATCCAAAGGAAAAAAGAACAACGCGAGGGGCTTATAGTGTGTGCTGTCCTTTCTTGGGTTGCCCAACAAATCTGGACAACCCTTGCTGTTGGATTCCAAAGACAAATCGACTGGCAACCGGAAAGAAGAGCTCCGTTTCCTCAACCTATAGTTGGTTTCTTGGGTACTTAATTCACAGGGAGCTTGGATCACAAGGGGAGTTTTAGTGAGCTCTGATTCCCTGAGTTTGGGCAGACTGAAGCCAGCCGTTTTGGGTTTGGCCAAGGGTTTTGGAACTTGGCTCCCGGGTGGGCGAGCTCGACCGAAGGAACGACCCTTGGCGGCTGGTCTCTCTGAGACTGGACGCCGTGCAACCGACGCTCCAGGACCGGCGTGGTTTTGGGTCAACGGGCCCACCCTTTTTCCCTGGATTGGTCACGAAAACCACTTCCTCCTGGAAGACCCTTTGATACACAAACAAGTGCTCCAGACAGTTGTTGGCATTCGAGCGCTTTTTCTTGCTCACCCAATTCGAGCACTTTTTCAGGTTGCCCTGCTGCTTGGTGAAGTGCTCGAGAGCCCGCAACTCGAGCGCAATTTGCCGCTACTTGGGCGCAATTTTCCGCAACTCGGGCGCAATTCCAAGAAGTGTGCTTAAAGCATGTGTTTGCATTTACCATTACTCGCGCACTTATTTGCCACACACATTCTCGAGCAATGGGTCCTGGCTGGGGAGTACCAATCGAGACAAACCCGCCAAGGAAACTGGCCGGTTCTCCTCAATCGCAGAACCCATTGCAAAAAGGCCTACAGCCATAGCCCTTGTTGGTTGCTCTCCATTTGGCTCAGATCCTGAATTGCACAGAGCGCTCAAACTCCTGATTGGCCCTTTTTGCATTTTGGATACTGCTCATTTGGGTAAACTAGGGATTTTCGGTCCTAGGTTCGAGAGACTAATTATGAGCCCCCCCTAAAACAAAAACAAAAGCGAAAAAGAACGCCTAGGAGCCCGGAACCTCCGGTAATCCTCCGGAACCCTCCATGCAAGGTGTCCCAACCACCCTAGAGCCTGTCTGGGCAGGGACACAGTATGGTTGGGAGGAAGTATTCACGTTAAGGCAACGTTACGGTACTCGTTGGGTCTGTGCAAATGGCTAGCCGGTTCAAGACTTTGTCAAAACATCTGAACACCAAGGCTGTTTCGTTGCCGGTTTCGGCATCCTCATCTCGGATAGTACAACAATTAGAGCCCTTTCGGCGGCTGCCAGTTGAAGGCGTCGACCACGCAGCCATTTGAGCCAAGGGCTGGCAACAAAGTCGGGTTTCCCTTACTGGCTCCAGAAATCAATGAGTCAGCAGCGCAGGTGGCGCCAATGAAGCCCAAGGTTGGATCAAGCAGGCAGTAGCGGAAGTAGCGTGCTGACAGCCGGTTGAACCAGCCTATGGAAAGGGATTGGATCTGCCTCGCACGGGCTGTGATTCTTTGGAGAGCGCAAAGAAGGGAGCCCGGGATTCTTTGAAAAACGAAAGCAACAAAATCACGGGGGAAGGTGTTCTTTGGCTTTTTTTCCGCTGCGCGCGGTCCACATCTCCTTCGTCGCCATGGGTTGCGGCGCAAGTGTGGCGCCGGAGAAGCCCAGAGAGTTGAAGGTGCTGCAGGAGGCGCCCGCGCCAGAGCAGCTGACGCCGGAGGAGGTGGAGGCTGAGTCGAAAACGGAGAAGTTCTCCACAGGGTTCCACTTTTCGACTATTTCAAGATAGACTTAAACCCAGTTCCCCTTTTGGGGTGCCCCTTGGCACCCCGGTAGTCAAAAAGTGGAACCCTGGGTTCTCCAAATTCCACCTGGAGGGAAGCTGCCTTGACTGGAGGCATGCGCTTTTGACCAGTTGGTTTGATGAAACATGGGTTTCGTGAAAAGGTTGCCGTTTGGGCTCAGTCTCACTTCCTGGGTAGGCCCAAAAAGTCGCCAAACTTACTGAAATGGTCCAAACCCAAAAAGTGATTAAAGTCCAAGAACTCAGTCCATTTTTAGTCAAGGTTCTCAAAGGTGTTTTTGGTGCATTTTGCTTGGACTAATGGATTTTCCATTAAACCAATGAAAAATTAAGCTTTTAGCGGGGGAGCATTGTTTCTGGATCCTCTGGGCATTTTGAGTTTAGCGCACGTTTGCCCTTTTCGGTCTAAAGGTGGACGATGGCGGACGGAGTGTTCCTTCTGACTTGTTTGCTGGCAGCAATGCCAGGGACCACAAAGGGCAACTGCCACGCCGTAGCTGGTGTTCGACACTGGCAGTTGGGTTTTGCCGCAATGAAGTTTCTCAGGCTACTACGATACAAGAGGGGACCGCAAAGTGACAGGCGAAACATCCACAAGACATCATCAATCAAGGTCTTCAATCCCCGCACTTCCCATCCCCCCTTCCTGCCAAGCAGTTTTTTTCTTCTGGAGTTCCCCAACAACACGGGCCCGTTTCTGCATGGGTGAAAAAGGTTTGTTCCTTCAATTTCCCCTTGCTTCCTTTTAGGTGCTCTTTTCGCACTCGTTCCATATGCAAGGGTGCCACAAACATCCTCATCCAATTTTGGTTGCCACGAGGCGATCTTCGCGCGGGGGAAGGCGGT